GGCCCGCTAAAAGCAAAAACAAAATACAAGTAATTGTTGTATTTGTTCAATCGATACCACCTTATATGTATTCGCCTTGCTTTAATTATTGAATCATGAGAAACAAAAAACCGATTTGAAAACAAACAACACACTTTTCAATTTCAACGCGTTTTGAAATTTAGTTTATGCATCCGTTTTGAATCACAGCGAACTGGGTCAAAGCGTTTTATGTGTCGGTATAAACAAGGTATATATTTTATAGGTCCGCTAAAGCCCCCAGAAAATGCCTGAAAATGCAATGGGGGATAAATAAAAACTCTTTAGTATTAAAAATGGTTAAACAAACAATTGGGTATGTCCTGAAGAGAAACAGAGTTTTCCGATCGAAAAATATTGATTTTCAAGAATTATATACTATTACCTTGTTTATACCGACACATAAAGCGCTTTGACCCAGTTCGCTGTGATTCAAAACGGAGGCATAAACCAAATTTCAACACGCTCAGTAATCAAAAGTGTATTGACTCGAATTTGTTTTCAAATAGCTTTTTTATTTCTCACATCGGTTAGAACACATCATTAATTTGATGCGAAGTGAAAAATGACCGGTTTTCTTTATACAGCCCGTTTTAAGTGAGTGCGCTAAAATGACACCGGTATAAACGCTTGAAAGAAATATGTGTTGAATCAAATCGGTTTTTTGTTAATGCGGTTTTTTTCGTAGGTATAAACAAGGTATATTTCTACAAAACGTGTTTTTTTTCTCATATAAAATACATGGAAAACTTTGAGCGCTTTGAGCGACCTCTAAATATTTTTTTGATATAGAACCATTCTAAGGAATTAAAATTCCGACTTTACTTATTTTGGACCACCCTAATGTACATATATATTATGTCAATAGCTAATATCAAGCGTGCTTTGCGATGTTGGAGACACTTCTTTGTTACTGCTTGTTAACGTACGTTGGGCTCAAGCTGCTGTATGAAGTCTCTATTACTGGATTTGTGGTTAACACACCACCAATAGCTGAGATCCCAACCGGACTGTGATATTAAATGTATGATAGATTTTGTCTTAATCTGGATTTTGAAAACCCTGA